CCATTGTCACAGCCGGAGAAAACAGTTTGAAGTTGGATTAATATGAAACAGATGCTTAGAATATTTTTACTTTTAAAGAGTTGACCTTTGCATTGAGGTTAAAAGTGCATAGGTATTACTACAGCCGGATAAGATTAGAGACACCTAATTGGACAGGTTTTTTTTCTTAATAGACGATACTTTTATAGTTAGATTTAACTGTATGAGCTAAAGTATATGTATATTATACGCCATTGATTCGTGATATGCAAGTCAACACAACTTAACTTACATGAATATATTCCTCATATCAATTTAAATTAATATCCAGGGTTATAGACAAGTAATGAAATATCTCACAAAGTTGCGAAGAAATTTTTTTTTAAAATAAAAACGATGACAACACTGCCGATATTTATGACTTTTGATAGTTTCGTGCATATTTTAACAAGCATGCAGAGTTTTTTTAATACTCGATTCCTTGTTTTTATGTAGACGCGTTTTAGAGCCCCAAATAAAAAAACACCCTGCAAGTGAAATGCATAATTCTGAAATGTGGGTATACATTATAAAACTGAATATTGCAATAAAAAGAATACTTGCATTAAAGGACTGTTAATGCCGATACAGAAATGCCGTCTTCAAGTCGTATCAGATACAAGTATGTACTATTTTAGTTTAATGGCATCGATTCCCTAACTTGTTGTGTTTTTAAACATGTATCAATTAATTTGAATATAAAGAATATAATGTGTTAGAAATAAATCGTTTTTTTTTTAAACGTTAACGGTATCAATTTTACTTTACTGCAACAGATGTTTTTATATTAAAATTTATATTTGAAGCATATAGCGTGAAAAATCATATAATAAAAATACTACAAATGATCAAATTATTAATACAATATCATTCATAACTTTATTTACAATTTAACAGTAAGAACAATGCTTTTAAACATACTTTGTTTTAAAGGGAGGAAGATAGAATTCCTCTGATGATACTTCACCTTATAGACGTTTTAAAATGTTGTACAATGTTTGAAATCTCTTCAAATGAAAAGGACTTTTTGGGGGTGCCTGTTACAATTCCATGTGTAATTTTTGTGAGTCAGCGGTTCAGTTTACTAGCTACTGTCTTGTGTGCAAAATAGCACTCTCAAAATGTTCATTATTGATATATTGTATTAACTTTAAGGTAAAAAATGTCCAGGAAAAAAAGTATTTTTGTTTTTCTTTTTTATTTAGCTCTCAGTTAATCATAGAATCTGAAGCGAGATGGTGTATCAAATACATTTGCTTTATAAATTTATACATTTTCAATACAAAATCGTCAACTCAAGCACGCCTGAACATAAAAAGGTGTACTCTATTTTCACTTTTCGATAAAATCGTTGCCCAATTTTAGGTATTTTTTCCAAAACATGTCTCATAAATAGTGCAAATCATTACATACAAAGTCGTCTGCTGAAAGATTAAACCAATCTAAATGAGGCAGGCGACGCAGAAATGCTATTCGGAATAGAGTAAGAGAATTTGCCTAATAATGCAGTTGATCATGCTGCATGTAGAATCACATACTTAACATATGGACCAAACTTCACTGATAAATCAGCCTATAATTTGGTGTTCGAAATGGTTGTTGAAATTCAACACATTAATTTTGACAATGCATAAGTCTTTCTTACCAGAAAACATTTGTAAGAACTACTACACGATCTTTCGTCTAAACTCAAGGTTAGACTTGTGAAGCTGAACAAGAAAGCCATAGTGTTCTTTGCTAAAAAAGGACAAGGTAAATCGAACATAGAACTTGCAAGGGAAATTTCTTTTGGTGACGCCGTTAAAGCCGCTAATAACATCAACGCAGAATTATAAATTCAGAAAATAACAGACGACTTGATATCAGTTTACACCCAGCATGCTTGATAACCTTTTCAAAGGGCATGCGTGAGTCACCAGAAGTTCAGAAATCCCTTCTGCCGGTGATTAAAACGGGTGATAAAAATCTCAAATCCCTTGTAAAAAATGCGTTGTCAACCGAGGGAAGCTCTATTTTCTATAACCCCGAAGGGTCAGATTCAATAATGGTTTACTATGCTTTTAATGCTGATCCTAAAGTTGGCGGAAAACGCGTCAAGGGTAGAATTGTTTTCAAATCAGATTAAATAGCTTCCACCATTTGAGTCAGTGTTTAAGCAACACCCTCGACAGTACGCGCACTCTGGCAAGCATAACTTGGTGTCTGCAATGTTGTCAACCCAAATAATTGCACTCAATGTGAGCTTGATTGGAAAATTGTGCAGAATTACAAGTAAGAGACAGTTTTCTTTGAAGAATAAATGCCATCAGTCGTTCCTTCTTTTATATCCGTGAAAGGGGAACATGCGCGCCAGGCGAGGCGTTTGAAAGCTTGCCTACGATCTGTAAGATAATGTTGAAGTAATTTCACTGCCATTGAATAAAGACATTAGACACATAGTTTTCTTCTCATGTGTTGACCATGGGAAGCACATATCGAGTTGAGTTGGAACCTCAACTTGAAAATTGGTCAAAAAGTTGAGTTACTTCACGGCGTATATTCAGAACGCTTTCTTTCCGGTTCAATCGCAAGTAACGCTTGCTTTCTGATTCCGGAAACGCGTAATTTCCGATATTGCGTAAGAAAATTACAGCAACGGTGGAAAGGTAGGTTGCTACAATCTTAAAAAAATAATGAAGTACCAATTTTCTTGAATGAAATTGAAGTTGACGGAACAAAACAAATAACCAGGTATCCAGTTTCATTTTTATTGTATCTTCGAATGATAAATGAAAGTTATTTCGTTTTTACAAGAACTGCGTTGTCTTGAAACACACTTTGAAACCAAACATATCCAAATTTTAACAATCTCATCCGCAATTAACATTGTTTTAAAAAAAAAGTTGACGTATCATGCTCAGGTTTATTCGCCGTTTTTCTAAACATCGATGTGTAACGCTTACTTTGAGGTTCAGGAAACGCTTACTTTGAGATTCAGGAAACGCTTACTTTCAGATTTTAAGGATGCAAGTTCAGTCAAACATAGTATGGTCAAACAAGTGCCATTGTAGAAACTTTACATTAGGGAACTATAATTCAAATCAGAGAAAGGGGGTGGGGAGTGGGGAGTGGTGGTTATGGTTTGTTTCTTTAAACATATTCTGATTCCAAACTTTGGAGCGATAGATATTTTGATATGGAGAAGGAAAAAAAAAAGATTCTGATTGAGAGTTTTTGCCATGCATTAAATTTAATTTTAAGTTCTCAAAAATAATAAATAATTTAATGCTTGCCTGGTACGTAATAGAATTTCAGAATTAAAATTTAGAGTTATATGGTTGTTCCATTACGTAATGTTACAAGGTACATATCTTTGTTGCCTTATTCATATAATGGCCATACAAAACACAAATATTTACTTCACAGTTCCTATCTTCACAGCATTCTACGCCTTCAGTTATATATTTGTCATCGTTTGTTTTCAATGAAATCACACGTAACCACCCCTCCCTGTCCCATCGTCCGGCTGGTTGATTTTCTTTATCTCTAGTATTCACTATTTCGGCCTTGACAGGCCTGTTCCTTCTAAAGTACGTTTTTTTTTAATTTCGAAGGAAATATGTATTAATTTCCATGTTTTACATAAAATATAAACGTAGCATTCCCTGAGAAAATATTAATAGTCCATTTTTCTCTCAGTCTTTATAAAAAATATATATTGCAAATTTTTCATTTATTCTATTACATGTTGCATTATGCAAAAATGAATTAATTTGTTTCCGAAAGACAATACATACTTGTCAACGTATATTTGTTCCGCCTAACAGAAGTTCCACTGGAAACTTTTTTATAAACAATGTCATAATATCTGTTCCTATTGGAACAAATAGTCTATATCATTTATTCCGTTAGGAATATATTCTGTAATATTTATTCCTGTGGAAATAATATTCCAGAATATTTTTTTCAATTTGGAACTTATATTATGAAGGAACTTCTATTTCGTGACATACTGACATAGCTTTACTTCCAATTAATTCACATAATTTTAGTTTTGCTTAACGATGTCGTTCTTGTAGGTTTTTGGTATAGTTAGATACCGAAAATTTCCAAACATCCGTTAAAATTGCAGTTTATCTTCTGGCGTTTCTCTATAGCTGTTTTTAAGTTCAGCTTTCCTGCTTGTGTTTCTGATGTATCTCAATATTCACCTTTAATCATGTTAATAAATCTTTGGAAAACAGTTTTTGGGTGTGACCTGTGTGTGTGTGTGCAGATATTGATATATATGTGTTTTTATGTCTAATACTTAGTATGTCTTCATTTGAGAATCTTGCTTTTTTGTATATGACAGTGTCCAGGAATGTTGTTTCATTACGTGAAAAATTCGTAGGTGATTTTCAAGTGCGAGTACACGTCTCACTTAACCTTTAACAAATGTTTGAAAGTTATAACCTGGCTATAATTTAGTGTAATGTAGTGTGAGTTGAAATGGCATTGGTGGATTTTATACAAGTTTTAGTCGGAAGATGTTTAGTTTGTTTGTTCTCGTCGTCCTACAAAGTTTTGATACTAAGACACAGCTCTATATCACTTCTCACTCAAGCTTTAACAAACAATCCAAAGATACAACCTGGCTTTAATTTAGCGCAATGTAGTGTGAGATGATAGGGCATTGCTGGAGGCGTAGTGGACAAATTGTAAAACAAATCAGCCTGAGATTTAAATGCCAAAATTACACAGTTTCAGCCCTTAGTGATAATTCTACAAATGACGAAAATGACCTGTGTGATGGAATCTTACAAGCAGAAACATAAGCATGTTATATTGTTAATTTGATGTGGGATTTTTCAAATGAATTATAATTTTGTAAATGTTATTATTTGTGTGTGAACTTCATTCACGAGTCAGACCATGTATTTGGCAAATATCGTACTTGTACACATAAAGAATATTTGAACCATACATAGATAAATGTATACCATGTATTTGGTAAATACTGATTACATTTAAAATAAATCATTTATTTGGTGAAAAAGTACAAATTGACCATGTCTTACATGTATTTGGTCAATAGCATATGATGCTTAGATACATTTACACATTGTAAACATAGCATATAAACATACAAAAATACAGAAGGGCACAGTTATTCGGTTTAAATGAAAAGATATTAAAAAATTTAACAAATAAAACAAACAAATAAAATGAAAATGAAAATGATAACGATAAAAATGAAAATTAACAATATTGCAAGACAATATACATGATATAAGGCAAGCATGACATACATCATGATTATCAATTTACATATATAAAGCTATAGCAGCACCTACATTTTAGATATTTTATTGTAGTAGATATCAGTGGTACATACATTTGTTGAATTGTTCACATGTACACATGTTGAAGACCCATTGATGGCCTTGGGCTGTTTTCTGGTCGGGTTGTTGTCTCTTTGACACATTCCCCATTTCCATTTTCAATTTTACATTCTATATGAACATGAATATTTATATTACATTTTATTTTGCATACCGGTTTATACATGTAATGTAATATCAAGTTCTTATATTTTAGATTTGAATTTTGTTATCTGTTAAAAGATTTATTTGATCCCATATTATTGCATATGAATGTTTTAAAGGCAATGATTATATTCAGCCTTTGTTCCATCCGGTAAAAAAATAAAAATCAAATATATGTATTTCATACTGAACACTTGAACATACATGTACATTCGATTAAATGTTAAAATGTTTGTTAAATATGGCCGCCTTCAAAAAGCTCAAGGAAAAGAAAGAAATTTTCGACTCAAAGATGACCTAACCTTAAATTTCACAAATGAGGAGTTTAGACAACGCTACAGCTTTGTGAGAAATGGAATAATGTTTTTGTCAAACTAAATTAGTAATGATGAAAGAAGACAAACAAACAGAAATCATGTTTTGACTGTACCACAGCAAATAATGGTGACCCTGAGATGTTTAGCTCTGGAAGTTTTCTGCAAGTAGTTGAAGACACAAATGGTAAGTTTTAAAACATTTTGATCATATTTCATTTAATATTGGAATGGTTTCTGAATATTGTATACACTGGTGATTGCTCTGACTGAGTTTGATTGTTGTTATGGCTGATACTTTGTAATAATAATAATATATATGCCATACATGCCAACGCAACAATTAAAGAAGGAAGACTTTTTCTTATTTAAAAAAAAATGAGATCTTCATCTTAAGACATATCACCTGTGAGGGAGGTAAAAAAAAATCCACGTATTTTCACTCCCTTTCATCATTTGAGTTGTTTTGATGGTATTTTCTGTGATTGGTATTCACAGACTGAGTGTATTGAAAAAACAATGCTTATTCACATCTCTCACGTGCATTTTAAGGGAGAAGTATACTTGATTACACTGAACTTAAAAGGAATTCAAGCCTTGTAAATGTTGTTACTGGAGTCTGTAATAAATCATATTTTATTACCACTGCAGTGTATTAGATAAGGGTTTTTGAAGGAAGTTATATAATATTGCAATGTCATTTTTATATCTGCAGTATTTTAGAACTTTTTGTTGTTAAAACTAAAGAATTGGTTTAAAAAATCTAAATCGTTACATAGGTCTGTACATGTAAGGAACAAAATGACGGATTGGGAAATGGCTAACTTCTTGGAGATAGTGGATATCCTTGCCGCTCCTTCTTGATGACCCCATACCAGAATCCTGTACAAAACCAACAGAAAAAACACAACAGATGCCATTCGTTAACCAGAAGTGTAATTGAGAGGACATTTGGAAGTCTTAAGAGACGGTTCCATATATTACACTCAGAGGTATATGTTATACGAATTGCTATGCAAAGAAGGACTTGAAGTCACATTGGCTCCTGAAAATTAATAATTATCTAAATAATTAGCAGTAAATTACTTTTAAAATTTTATATATCAATTATTATCCATATCAATATGATAACTGTTAATTCAGAGAGGAACAAAAGCGAACACATTCGGATGATCAGACAAATTTGAAACATGCAATTTCAAAGCCAAATCTGTTTATGTCCTGACCAAAAACAATAGATTCATTGTTAACATTTGAAACTTTAAAAAAGGTGTAAAACTATACAAAATAAAAAAATGCTTTGCATTATAAAATATATTTGTGAGCTTATCTTAGTCTTATAAAGTTGAAAACTAAGGCCAAAGCTGGAAATTTGTGGCCCTGTAATTATATATTGTACATTACTTTTACTTTTTGGTTTAAGATAAGAATGACACCAAGCAAGGCATGCACTATCATCATTTCTTGTGCTATTTCTCACAACATTTGCATCTTATTGAATGAACCGGACATCGAATATGATGGAGTAGTGATAGGCAATGAGGGAGATCTTGGGGAACGTTTCGTTGGTGATCAGAATGGAAGAGCTGTCAGAGATCACATTTCCTCCACATTTTTAATCGCTGAAATCCACGAATAAAACATTGAAAAAAGCTTTTTTTTAAATATGCATTTCATCAATAATAATAAAACATATGAAAAAAATAACATTAATATGGAACGATAAATAAATGCTGATTAAAGGTAATTAGGTAGAGCTTCAACATTGAAACGGTACAGTTATTTTAAAAAAACCTTTCATCATGTTATAGAATTCCATTTGCTTATCGAATAGTTCCATTTTGGTCTGATTTCTTTTCAACTCGCTTTGCAACACCTGACACTGCAACTCATACACGTCGTTTGCAGTTTTCTCGTAGCTTTCTTCATCCGCTTTCTTTCTATGAAATATAAAAGTTTTAATGTTTAGTAGATATTGTCGATAAAAATACCGGTATATACTTTAAATATATACTAGGTATGATTATTTTCCCAAAGGAAAAGATTTCCACAACTTACTCATCAATGTGTATACCTTTAACTAATACTCTTTAAAACAAAAATAGAAAAGAACAAGAGTGCACACGCTGAAAAGTCTCGCCTGCTTTACTGATCATTGATTTTATGTTAAAAGTCTTAAAGATAAAGGTTTTAACTAAACGTATTACAGAAACGTAACATTTTTAAAAATCTATGACAATGAGATCAAGGTCAGATAATTTGTGTCAGACAGACATACACACCTTACAATTGAAAACAGACCAAAACACAAAAACTGAACATAAATATGAGGTCAAGGTCAGATGATACCTGCCAGACAGACATGTGCACCTTACAATTATTCCATACACCAAATATAGCTGAACTATTGCTATTAGTATTTGAAAAACAGACCAAAAACACAAAAACTTAACATTGATCATTGAACCATAAAAATGAGGTCAAGGTCAAATGATACCTTCCAGACAGACATGTACACCTTACAATCATTCCATACACTATAGTCGACCTATTGTTTATAGTACTTGACAAACAGACTAAAACACAAAACTTAAAATTGACCAATGAACCGTGAAAATGAGGTCAAGGTAAGATGATACCTGCAAGACAGACTTGTACACCTTACAATCATTCCATACACCAAATATAGTTGACCTATTGCTTATAGTAGTAGAAAAACGGAAAAAAAACACAAAAACTTAACATTGACCAATGAACCATGAAAATGAGGTCAAGGTCGGATGAAACCTACCAGACTGACATGTACCCAATACAATCATTCCGTACACCAAATATAGTTGACCTACTGCTTATAGTATTTGAGAAACAGACCTAATCACGTAACTTTAACCTTGATCACGGATCCATTAAATGAGGTCGAGGTCATGTGAACTCTGTCTGACGGACATGAACACATTGCAAGAAAACCATATACCAAATATAGTTATCCTATTACTCATAATAAGCGAGAAATTCACATGACAAAAAATCTCAATTTTTTTTTCAAGCAGTCGCTGAACCATGAAAATGAGGTCAAAGACAATGGAAATATGATTGACGGAAACTTCGTGTCATAAGGTATATGCATACAAGAAATGAAGCATCCAGGTCTTCTACCTTCTGAAATATAAAGCTTTATATAAATAGTTTACGCCGCCGCCGGATAGTAATACCTATGTCTCGCTAGACAAAAATTAAAGGGATTCAATTTATAACAGAGTATTTTGGTCAGTGCTTCTGATTAAGATTTAAACAAACGGTGATGAAGAGTTTTGTGCAATTAATTCTACAAATAAGTATTTGGGATATTTTTCTTTGAATCTTATTTTGAACAGGTATTTAAATGAGATAATCTGATTTGGAATTATGATACCTATTTACAGGAAATATTTGAACACACAAGAATCATTTTTATTAAACAAATCAGGGTATCAAAGGTATATAATTATTCATTTCATAAAGTCTAGCCATTCAGTTCTCCTTTTCAAACTAGTTTTGAAGCTCAACGACTGGTATATTCATAAAAAAAATATGCATAAAAATCTCATATAAACATTGATGGGAGTGTTTTTTTGAAATATCTCCATGTAAATATATTTTTGAAAATTCACCTATTGAAATAACAACTAAACAACATCTGATTATAACCTAATGTACTATGCACTATGAGTTTAAGACTATTGTTTTATTCAGGCACTTAAAGAATGTGTATCAGTATTCAAATGTTAATGGCTAGGCTTTTCAGAATGGCCAAATTTTTTTAATGAGTATTAAATAAATCATGTTCCCATTCACTAAAGTATGAATCCGTACACCCCCAACTGACTTAGTGTAAACACATTATAAACGCTGTTGTATTCTTTCATATAAAACATATACCTGGCTTTTGGGGTTTGCTGAGTGCTGGTAGCTGAAAGAGGTATTTAGGCACGCACTGGTAGGCTGGCATGTACAGTAACAGGTGTTTCTTCATTTCTCTGTTGAAGCTGCTCTAGTCTCCTAATCCAGATACTCTCCAAAAGGATGGTGGTTCTAAAAGGTTTGATTTGAGAAACATTAAGATTTCCTCTGTTGAATGTGTGTACATTGCATATATGTTTATTATACGAAAAAATGGAGATATGGTATGATTGCCAGTGAGACAGCTACCACCAAAGTTCAAATGAAATGGATGCATATTTGAATATTTATATTTGGATGTTTTAGTCAAGATACATGTACAGGACTTAAAATCTCCATCAACTGAACAGCATATATTGGGGAAGGGTATTGTAAAAATGCAAAACTGAACATAACTTCTACTTCTATCCATAAGTCATTATGTTCTGTGACAATTAAAACAACAATAGAAAATATATTAAAACCATTTGAATGAAAGAAAGACAATAGATACAAAATTAACTTAAATCATGCTATTACAGAGACCCTGTATAAGACACTCCATAATGCATTTTTATAAGTATTTCTTTACACAGCCATATGTATCAAATTGAGTTCTTACATAAAATATTGATCCTAAAACATTGCATCGTCCCATTTATGAAAAGCAGAATTGTAAAAATAATTTGCAAATCAAAATGCAATTATCTAAGTAATAATTACCATCAGCTGTCTGGCATCTTGAAGCAGTAATCTGTGCTGGAATTTGTGAGCTGACAGGTTCAGCAGAATATATCTGATCAGATGATGAGCTTTCTGAAATAGAAGTCACTTAATTATATTTTGTTTAACAATCCTGTTATTTGGGATATTAGATAGATAATTTATACCCTTCATTATATCCAATTCAAATAGAATAACACAGAATAACAATTGAATAATCTTATTCTTGTCTCTGTTTTCACGAGCTGTCATTTATATACTATGCATACAAAGGATCGATATGCATGAACATTATCCTTCATTGATTACAATTGCACTCGAAAATGTATACAAAATTAATTTCAACATAGGCAAAAAATCCCACTCTTCACTTATTGACCCATGGTTACAATTATAAAAATATTGCAAATTTCCAGTCAGTTTTAACATTTTATAAACCCTTGCTTATATAAATCTGTATTAGGAACTTTTATAAAACATTTATTAAACGTGTTTGGCCCGCAATTTAAAAAAAAAATATGTATTAGAAACTGTCATTTTTTTCTTAAATACTAATAAGTTATAAAAGGTTACAGACTACTATACAAATCCTTGAAATCGATCAGAAGCAAATAGATGGATCTTTTTTTTTTTTTTTAGATAAATTGATTTTCATCAGACAAGCATCAAACAAAATTTCTTTAGTAATTTATGGACGTGTATGCATGGATATCTTATTTAAATACACACCTTGTATACTGAATTCTGTTGTTCTGCTCTCACATGTTTCTCTCTTTCAAGTGAAAAATACAAAAAATCAGACACAAAGAAAGATAACTCAATTTTGTATTTATAATGCATGCCCTATAAACATGTCACATTGACTGTAGTAAAGTATTCATTGCCACTACGATGTATATGGTATTTACAAATTACTTTTGTTGAAATTAAAATTATCTTTTAACAAGTTTAAAGTAAAACGTTTTTCTCTGAAAATGTTATTACATTTTAATTTTTTCGAATTATTTTTTTCATCGTAATAAAAAAAAGATATAAGGGGTATTACACGATTGACCACCAAAGGTGATGGCCAACAAACTTCAACTCTTATAAAACAATATTTATACCATCTTTATATGGATAATCTGATTTGTATGTGATAATTATTACTCATCAAGATCATACCAAGGAATTTTTATATATGAAAGGTAACAGAAAGGTTAAAATTATTACACGATATTAAATTCTATTTTTAGCACATCGGCGCCGTCTGTAGGGAATTTCTGTCAAAAGGATATCCTACTGTCATAGCAGACGACGCGCTTTGGTTTTCAATTTTTCTGCATTATTATCAATGATAGCAATTCAACAAATAACTGATTTATTGTTTACAAAGTAATAACATTCGCATTGCATTACTTCATCTATCTAAAATACCTACCTACTGAATTCTCCATCCCTTCATCAATACCTTTGAAATAGGAGGTATCTTTCAAAGATTGATGATGTTCTCCTCAGCAACACTGATGGGCTTTGGAGAAGGTCCTTCTCCTGTCCGTTTCCTCTCCTCAACAAAACAAGTTCCTCAACCACTCTTCTACTAATGAGGTTAACTTCCATTTTGGAAAAGTTCTGCCCTCTTATTCTGGGTATTTTCTCTTGGGGTTGTTGTTCAGCCATTTTCAAACAGGAAGTGGAGGAATTATTGGTTAAATTTAATTTTCAACAGGGAATTATTGGTAAATATTAAAATTAAGAGTTGTTAAATTTTTAAGCAAGTTGTTAGTTAACCCAGTCGTTAAATTGTTTTGAACAACATAATTTAACGCAGTGATAAGCATCACAACAATGTAAAACTTTAACGAGTTATTAGGCTTAACTAGTTGTTAGCCTAACGACACTTTTGAACAACCAGGTCCTGATGGTTTGTTCGGATTGTAGGAACAAAGCAAATATATTTAAGTAGTTCAAAATTCACTTGGTCAAACACACATAACACATTGTTGTGCACAACGATACTTAATTGCTGAAACTAACTAAAACCCCAAACCAAGCTGTATTCTCTAATAAAATAATAAAACTAATTTCTGATTATGTCTCAAATTTTTGTTTTATAAAGTGATCATTTTTTTTCTGAATCGGTCTAGATAATATATGTTTAGATGCGTCAAGTATACTTCTTACAAAATCTCAATCACAAGGATTCTTTATACCCGCAATATGATGTGCTCACTAAATACTGTAAAATGCAGCCTCAACACCACTGCATTGACTACTGGTATCTAATAGATTTTGCAAATATAAGCTGACATATACTTCATCACACGGTAGTATCGAAGATATTTCTTGATATGTTCGTGCCCATTTTATAAAAATACCCAATGTACTTCAACACTGTAGTTTTAGACCTCCAATCTAGTACTGATGATGAAGTTTTGTAAAGAGTTTGTTTCAACTGGGGGAAAGGGGGGGGGGGGGTAGAAATTATAACTCTGTTTCCAGAAACCAGCTGTAAAAGTTTTCTGTAATAAAAGAAAATTCCGAAAATAGTCTTTTGAATTTTTTTAAATGTTTCTAGTAATGACAAAATAAATCGATATTTACCTTGTAAATTTATCAGTCCATTCAAGCGGTACAGTGACCATAACTGCCAAGTCCAGTGACAAAAACACTCTAGATTCAGTGATTATAACAAATCCTATGTCCAGTTACCGCAATAAAACAATTAACAACTGTAAGTCAAGTGACAACAAGGAAGGAACAATCACATCAGTTAGGTGACATTCCTATGCCAAAACACTTAGAGTACAGTGACCTTTATAATGACTATATAAATCCAGTTGTCCAGTGACTAACATCGCCTATCTGTAAAATAAGTATAATATTATATTTCTTAAGCATTCAATCTTATTGCTCAAACGGTTACTTTAAAAGCTAATTTGGCAAAAAGTCGAATTTACGTTATGCCTAGAAACAAATATTCTATTTGCCTTAAAAAAACTCATTTACATCTTTAACATATGGTTTATAAACTAAACCTTTATCAAACAGTAACGTATAAACGGCAAAAAGGACCACTTTAGAACTTCCAAAGTACCAACATCTTTACATTTAATTAAATGATTAACGACTCTATCAGACAGCATCACTGGTGGTAGCAACCAGTTATCTTCTGCATGCCAGTTACATGTAAATGAATCAATACTTTCTGATATCAATAAGAAGATGTGGTATGAGTGCCAATGAGAACCAGGATTTAACCAGGATTGCAATATAAAAACATAAAAATGTGTTGAGCTTTATAGAAAACCTGCTGCATCTATATCTTTTGAATTACAATAAAAACTAAACTCATTTGCCTTTTATGATAAAGAAATAGCCATTAAATAGATGTACGTTATTTTCCAAAAACATGAACTAAAAAATCAAATCACTATATAAGGTAATGTCGATACACTGATCCCAATCTTCTCGTTCGTTGATCACAACAAAAACTGCTCTAATTTTTATTTGAGTAACGTTACCGATTGCTGGAGTAAATATAACCTTGAAGCAAATCTTTGAAAGCTTTCTGACTTAAAAACTAATACTATGCATTCTTTCAAGGGTACTATTTTTTGCTCTTGAATTTGCAAAAAACTTTTTTGTAAATTCTATATAAACCCCAACAATTTCAATAAACAAGAAGGGGACCAAATACTTTCCTACACATTTTGCACAAATGCAGACGAAATTAAATCTGACTTAACGATATCTGCATGCGATTTACATACTTCGCTATAATCAGCTAACCCTCATCCGTAGTCTAAATATAAGACAACTTACATACCCTTTCTCAAGTAGTTCCCGAATAGTGGTTGTAAAACCGTTGTAAATGCATAACCAATTTATTTCAATCCGAAGGATAGTACTGTAAATACATAGTATTTTTTAACACCATCAAACTTCGATGAAAAAACCAAAATATATGTACTTCTGATATAGATCAAATGTATAAAAATGATGGTAACATGATTTTAAATTAAAAAAAAGAAGAAACCCAACAGAATTATTTGTAACATATTGTTAGCAAATTTAACATCTTCAAATTTAATTTTGTTTACTAACACATGTTTGTTTACATGTCTTAAATCCAGTTCAAGTCTATGTTTTTGCTCCGATTTCAACTGTTAAATTAAATGGTTCACAACGTGCAGTCTGCTCGATACTTCTATAACTAACTCCTTTTTTAAAGCAGACCTGAAATATCTTCAACATTGTTCAAGTACAAACATACCATTTCTACAAGCAGACATACTATTTGTCAAAAATACAGATTGAGGCTCTTGTAAAAAAAGGAATTTTATAACCTCCTTTGGTAACGTTCAAAACAAAATATCTTGTTCAAATTAAAGTATTTGATCTGGATCTGCCCTTTACAGCTATATGAGAAACATCTTCATCGTATCAAAATAAATGTCAATATTAAATGATTGATGTACCTTAAAAGCTTCTTTTTTTTTTTAAATTTGTTTTAAGGAGCAGGTGCTCTCGGTACTATATTCTAGCTTTTACTGCGACATTCTTTCAATATATGCCCATAAAATCCACACTTGTAGACGTCGGAAGGTCTCTGCTTACCTAGGGCTCCGCCGTCAGACGCCCCTGCACGAAAGGACTGAAATTGAAAACCATTACCACCAGAATGTCCAGTAAACTGAACCTGTTGAAACGACGAACAGCTGCTTCTGTGAGTCTTTTCCTACCATGCTGCTTTTTGTCCGTCTTAGCTGCCTTAATCTTCTTGACTGTCCTGTTTTACGCGGCCCGGATGCATTTCTCATCTTCCTAATCACTCGCTATCTCATCAGATAAGTATTTACTCACAATCTTCTAACTGCCTCTGGACTTCGCGATCCTTATATGCTTATTCCGTTTATTCAGCAGGTGTAAATATGAAATGTCTTTATTCGGACGTTTCTTCTCAATACAAGAAATAGCGGAGTCTATAGTTTCCAACACATCCACATGAAATTCAAACTGCATCTTTTTTTTGGATTTAAAGGTGGTTTCCGACTTCATCACCTTTTGGCCAAACTTTAGGTCGACTCCTCAATTTTGTTGTAATTTATCATCAATGTCTTCATTTAAATTCTTCTCGCTGTCGGACACGATATCTACACTATACTGAAATCAATGTGGCCAACGCCCATCCTCGATAACTGAAAAAGAACGTGATCCTATTTTTTAATAAGCTACCCGCGAAATTCAAACTGGTTCTTTTAATCTAAACTTTCATCTTTACGTCATGTAGTTTTAAATTAACATATTGTATGATAAACCTATTGTAATATCACAATGGTATAACATCGTAACATCTAAGCCAAAACTGTATTAATAATTCAGAATCATAAGTTTTAGCTCTTTATTTTATTTGTTATCATAGCAATCACAGTCGATGACTGAGGATTTTCCAGTTGCAAGTAAACATCATGTAGTTTCAACTTCATAGAGGTCCAATCAAGTAAATGCAGGTATAAAAACACTCTAACATGAAATGGTCACTGTGTAATCTAAATATGTTAATGGAATTAACATCCCCAAAGCGCGTTTCGAACAGCATTATTTGCAACATTTATTGCTAGCAATTACGAAACTTATAGAAATATATTGACTATACTCCTTAAGCATTTTTTAAAATAATATAACATATATTTGACCAACATTTAATTATAAACATGGAGAAATAACAGAATTAACATGCATCTACATGAAATACTGCATTTACTTCTATAATGTTTATTGTTTAACCCTTTTATAAAAATATGCCTGACAGTAAAAATCCAGTTAATTGCATAAACTTGCTAGACGACTAGAATTGTTTTAAATCATGACCAGAGGTCCGCTCTCACGTACGCCAATTAAAATATTCTATCTTAGAAGTATGCCAGTTCTACCCTCGACCATTTTTGGACAGTTCTATCCTAGGACTGACAATAACACGTCTGAAAAGAGGTAAGAACTGGTCCATACATACTTGTATAATAATATTTGTTGATCTTTTTGTTAACTGTAACAAGTTAAAGCCAGTGGTGAATCTGTTATAAAGGTTGCGTAAACAAGAGTAAGTACCCTGTTGAACAACTTCTTGTTTAACACATGGTTATATAGAGTTTGCTTAAGTTTTAATCAAACGGAAATTTTTCTCAAATCAAAGATTTATAAACACTCTCCTCATATCTCAGAAAACAGAAAAAATCAGTATGGACAAAGCAGGTAACATGATATGGAAAGAGTATGGTATTATTATGTTGAGATAGTACAGATATGAATAAAAATATGGACGTATAAAGGCAGAAAGACTATACATAACGCAATAAACAGTTTTTAATTGAATTTTATTGCAGATAGCCAAACACATCAAAGCTCTTAATCGTGTTGTTATAAACCTTGGTTACGACATTTAACCCCATGTTGAACCAAGAGATGTACCACTGGGACAGAATTCACGAAGCAATAAAATACTTCTGGATCATTATAAATTTCTACTTCTCTTTGGAAAGGATTTTATACAATGGCCTTGATCGACGCCTTGCATTAGCCAGAACTCTTTTTATGGGGAACAGTTGAAACTGGGTTAAATAGGAACACTTGCATCAGTAAACAACAAAGACGTCTGGAATTGAACGTCAACGTTTGCAAGCCGAACAATTATCAATGTTTAAAGCTTGCATGAATAAGTGAGATGTAAGGGAAAACATTCCTGAGAAAACATGAGAGTCTAAATTGTCTTATTCTCCCTTTCTATTTAATGCAGAATAAAAACTTATACAGAGCCTTCACTAGGAGATGTTAATCCTTTTCACATTGACTAACAGCACAGAACAGTTCAATATTTGAATCGTGCTAAGTGTAAAACCATAGCATTAAAGAAACCAATGTGTAACTGAAACTAATTCTAACATGTATGACCAAGGTATCATTTTGGGGACTTTTGACCACCTGCTGTACCTGCCCACATTAAAGTTGTGTTTGAATTTCAGTTTTAATTCAACAACGTAATCTGTGTCTTGTTAACATGCCCAGTCTTTTGTATAGATCTCTTTTGAATATACACAAGCTTTCCTATTTGCAGTTACTAAATATATATATAGATGCATAGCACAATTTGTTCATATCATTTGTCAGAGAAAAAAACTGGAACTATTTGAAATGCCGATGACATAAGTATGAACTTATCGAATATCTAATCTGACCTCATGGTTTGGGAATAAAATCCTTACCAGTTGTAGTTTACCTCTAGGAAAACTGCCAAGATATACATAGCACAAGAGGTCGGAAGTTATGTTACACTTATTGGAAGGACAAAGTTATTTTTAGAATTTGTAATATCGTGTCTAACGAAACAGAAAGCAATCCACCTCACGACATGCACCTATGTTGCATTAATCAAATGTAAAAAAAGATTCAACAAAGTTGCATTTCAGTTTTGCCTTTTGGTCGTTTTTTCGTTTTTTGTCATGGCATTGTCAGTTCGTTTTTTGTCATAGCATTGTCAGCTCGTTTTTGCAATTGCATTGTCAGTTCGTTTTTGACTTATGAGTTTGATTATTCCTTTGGTATCCTTAAACTCTTTTTGGTGAGCAGCATCACTATAGAACAGCGTTTTTCTACGCCACTGTAATACTAGAACGTGAACGTAGACAGAAACAAATCCTTTGGTAACGCTGTTTAAGTTTAGAAACTTCCATCATAATTTATTATAAAACGAAAAACTGATCACAGATAAAACTAGTTTGTCAAGTCATTGAACAGCATCTACTATCCGGTATAATGTCTAAACGCAGTTCTTTTCAGACAAAGCTGATGCTTAAAAATTATGCAGC